AATTCAGAGGGTGAGAGGCCCTGAGCGCTTCCTCCCCATGATTGTCCTTGCTGCCACATCTAGGGGCTGATTCAGGGTGTGAAATGAACAGTGCTGAACCTAAGCCCCAACTTCATGGGCAAGTTTGTTCTTTTGTTCTGAACAGATAGTTTGCCTAGTGGTTATGCCCTGTTCTGCTATTTTAAGGATCTGGACTCCTTTTCCTGCCTTGTTCTTTGGATTACATTCTCAATTCATACCATTTGTCCTCTTCCACTGACAGCAAGAGTCCTTAAGCCTATGGAACACTGCAAAGATATCTATTTAAAATGAGGTAAAATGGGACATACTACCCATCCCACACTCCCCAAATCTGATATATGTGATAGGATCACCTGGCAGACCTTACATGCATTCAGATTTTTAATCTTTGCCTCACCTTTTATGCTGATTTGACTGAGATTTTCTGTTTAAGGCTATTTTGACATTTTGTATTGAAGTTCTGGTGCTTTAACTTGGATAAACTATGTTCCAACTTCCTGTCAACCATTCTGGACATTTAAGAAAGTACTAGAAAATTATCAAATAATACTTAGTGACATTGGGTTGGAATACTGTAAAGAGCATGTAGAAGACTTTAAACAGGTTTAATCTAATCACTTTTATTTTAAAAACACTACACAGGAGGATGTCGTACTATGGGTCCCTGCACTTACAAAAAAAATCAGTACTATGGAACAGAACGTTTTTGCTGCAATGCTTGTCAATTTTTCTCAAAATTCTTCTCTTTCTACAAGTCATTTCCTGAATGTGCATAGTGAAGACTTTGAGAATAGGATTCTCCTAATTGTCCCTACTGTTCCTTCAATGCAGACAAAATGAATTTGGAAAAACAGCAAAACATTTCATATTTCAAATGCCAGCACACCCAGTAGCAGTCTTAGCACTTTCAAAGATAAAAACAAGAATGATAGCCTTAAATCCAATCAGGCTGATAGTGTAGAGCAAGCGGTTTCTTACTGTAAGAAGTATACTTACTGAGATGTTCTTTAGAAAATAGTTAGGAAGCATAGTTAAAAGAAACATTTTCAGCCTGTCCTATCACCTCACTTAGCAAAGACATAAGAAATATCACTCAATGGTACTGTTCCCTTGTGTGAAAGTTCGTGGGGAAGAATGTAATATTCACAGGAATTAATGCCTTCTCATGCCATAGTCCTCTGAAGCCTGGAAATAGCATGTTATACAGACCATGAATGCATAGGTGATCAGGTAAATGCCATGATCAGGAGCAAAAATATAAAGGTTCCCCATTCCAAACCCTTGATGCTGATTAACCCTCAAGAGAAGAAGGTCATGGGACTCCCAAGAATTGGTTCTCTTGCTTCCCCAAAATGTCCAGTCTTTACCATCACAGCAGATGGTGAATTGACTGTCAACACTAAAACCTAGCTTAAATTCCACAGTAGTCAACATGATGTCTAATGTTTACCTGAAGCAGAACAGCTATGGAGTCATGTCTGTGGGTCACTTCTACAATGTTGGTCAGCCAATGAGACTTGGTCTTGGTGGAAATGCATTTGCTTTCATTCTGTGAAGCAGTTACTTCCAAGTAGAAATGGAAGGTTACACCGGCTTGGGACCAAGCAGAGCCATATACTACTTTCAAGCTCCTAATTCCTCTTTCCTCCCATCAGGCCAGTTAGTCTCCATCCCTCTCCTAGTCACAGACATCCAGAGTATTAAGTCAGTCCAGCTACAAACCTCCATCAGCTGTCACAGGCCTTCCCCAACCCAACACTTTTGCAACCCAAAAGTGGAAAATATATACAACCTGTTATGAGCTTTTCCTTGAAAATGTCTATAGCATGCACTTTGAAAAAGAACATAAAGCTGAGAAAATCCCAGCAGTCGCCAACTACATTATGAAAATCCACAATTTTACAAGCAAATTCCTGTACTATAATCACTATTTGCCCACAGATACATTGCTTAACCACACATTAGTTCATGGTCTTTCAACTTTCATATTGTCTTTCAACTTTCAATAACATGGAAAAGATGGCTGCACACATGCAAGTGGTTCAGATCAATGACAATTCATCTCCTGGTTATCATGTACAATCTATGGAATGCCCCAGCTTATCTGTTGCTTACTATGATCAGAATAACCCTACAGTTCCTCCGAAGCCACAATCAGAAGTTCAAGAGACAGCAGACACCCCTCTTAAAAGTTCATCTCAGCCATCAGTGCCCTATAAAAAGATGTTGGAAAAACCCTTGCCCACTTTGCTTTCAATCTAAAGGACCCTTCTCTGGCAGTCAGTAAATGAGAAAAACCAGTAGCTGCTTTCCACGAATGCACACAGGGAAAGCAGAGGTTTAATCATGTCTGTCTTTTCAGCTTTTCATTCCTCTTTAAAAATATTTGATTGGATTTTCTGTAGAAGAAGTATTACCCTGATTTACATGGTAGGTATCTAGGGTCAAAAACATAAGCAACCAATTTAATGGTATAGTAGACTCTGGGAAAATCAACCTGGTTTCCCATATTCATTCTGAACAGTTGAAATGTATACTATACATCTTTAGACCTTATTCAATGATGCTTACAATATTTATTGTGTTCCCCATCATAGATTTGTTTCCTTTTAGTGTTGTCTTGCTGTGCAATAAATGCTATATGTAGCTTACCTAGCAGAAGCTTGAAAATGAGCTACTTTGGATCTTAAGTCAAGCTTAGTTTTTTTACAGATAGCCTTATACAATCTGCAACAGAGTCCAGCCACATAAGAGATATTTCTGGACTCTCGTATCATAGAAGTTTTCTTGTCCTATGTTTCTTGATATTAACCTTTAAAACAACATTAGATGTTTCTGAAATATTTAAGCTAAGTCACATACAAGAATTGACATTGTAGCTACTGTATTTGACAACTTTTAGATCCGTGTAAGTGTGTTGTGTTGAAGCAGCAAGCACATTGATGCTTGTGTTTTGGATATGAGTTTTATTTTTAAACAGCACTGTCGTTGCTTCCTTTATATCATCTACTTTAAGTCACACTGTTGCAGTGTAGATTATTTTATTTTCTTTATTTCTCGAATTCACTTAAGCATCTAAATAAATTGTTGTATTGTGTTTAATGTAAAAAAGAAATACAGTTAATAACAATAAATTTCACATTTCAGCAAAATAAAATTAATATGCAATTTGCATCATACTTTTAAACCAAGCACTGTTATGTCAATTATTCAGATGATACAATGAACTTTTACAAATAAGAGGAAAATAATATTCATTAATTGGTAAATAAACAACATTTGAAAACTATGTTTTTCCACAGAAAATTCATTCCCTGAAAGAAAAGTCTGAAAGGATGTTCAGATAGTTACATAGAAATATGAGGCTAAAGAAATATATACTATTTTTGTTAATAGAATTCTGTAATTTTTATACAATTGGAAAATGGCATGGATTTTCAATGATGATGATATGCGAACCTTCATACATTAGAAAGTACAAAGTCCATTGGTCACTGACATGAAAACATGAAAATTTGCAAATTTGAAGTGTAAAATGAACAAAACTTCAACATACAATGAAAAACAGTGTTGTTATTCGAAAGGGTAAGTATGCAATTCCATATTATGAGATCAAATGCATCACTGTCCAAAACTTCATTCAAAAAGATCTGTCACCTAGCAGAGCAAAGTGAAAGACTCAAAATCACTCTTTTTTCTTTCTCTCTTCACAAGCACTAGATTTGAACAATGTTGGAAAATTAGTGTCAGTATATATGTATATAACAACCAATAAAAATTTAGTTATTTGATGCTTACCAATAAGGTTTTCAAAAACTTATTGTTAAGCAGTTTATCATTGTGCAAAAGCCTTAGAGCAGACTCCTATATACATTCATGACTATGCCATCATTAGTGAACTCAAGGTTACAAGACAACCATCATGTACTCAGTCTTTTATTTACAAAAAACATTATTAAAGCAGCACATAATTGTTGTCTAAAAGTGTACTTACAAGTGAATAGCAAAATTATTAACAATTGATAAAATGGAAATTACCCACAAGTCCCTCAATGGATGAATGAATAAAGAGCATGCTGTGCATATTTACAGTGAAAAGTATAAAGATTAGACATAGGTAATGTTGACCAACATAAGACAGAAAATAAAGCTGGAGAAAACCAAGGGCATAATGAAAAAGCAAGGAAGAAAAGTGAAAGAAAGAGGGAAAATAAAGGGAAAAGAGCAAGTATCACAGAAAAAGAAACATCTCAGAGTTAGGATGCACATTTTATTACTGTGAATTCTATTAAAACACCCTCTGTCAAACATTGATTCCTGTTTTCTGAATCAGTCAAATCAATGTTGATATTACAAACAGAAAAACAAAAGCAATAGTGTGATATTCTCACAATCCATTTGTGGTCAATCCCATCTCAATGATTTCCTTTTGTAAATGAGGTAAACATGTCCAAGAAACATTTTACTGAATAAAATTATACAAATAAAGTGATAATCAAAGTCGTGTTTTTACATTTCTTTAATAATTTTCATTCCATTTCTTACTGGAAAAACAATAAAATAAGCAAATCCTGGTACAGATACTGATTTTCAAGCCATATCTTCTGAGGAAACCATGGTAGTTATTTACTTAATTTATGTCAAATTGGAGATCACAGAAATATCTGCAGGAAAATGTACCAAACTTGAAATTTATGCATCATATTTAGAAAAGAAATAGTAAAAAGGGTTACTGAGGAGGTTTAAAGAAAAATAAATACAACAATACCTAGTAGAAAAATGGTTATTTGTAGATGAAGTGAAACATGTTTTAGGAATGAATGTGACAGTATAGCAAAATTTACCCCATTTGATTAAGTAGATACCATGTCCCATTTGTTCTATGTCCAGTGGTCTCTAAGAATGAGAGGCTGCTCTGCTGAAGTGTTTTCTCAGGGATCCCTTTACATCCTTATTCCTCAGGCTGCAGATGAATGGGTTCAGCATGGGGTTAACATGGTGTACATAACTGAGGTGATCATGCTTCTTTTGGGAGAATGGGCCACAGCAGAACTGAGGTAAACCCCAAGTCCTGTTCCATAGAACAAAGAGACCACACTGAGATGAGTCCCACAGGTTGAAAATGCTTTATACTTGCTTTCAAGGGATGACATCCTCAGTAAGGTGTATAGAATCTGAGAGTAAGAAAAGAGGATCCCAATGGCAGGAATTGCACCTAGCAAAGCAGTTGTCAGATATACAAAGTTGTTATTGATGAGGGTATGAGAACTGGCCACATTTATCAGCAGACTTATTTCACAGAAGAAATGTGGGATCTCAGTTCCTCTAGAAAAGGTTAATAGCATCATCAGTAGAATATGAATGATGGAGACTGAGCACATGATGCTCCAAGATATCAGGACCAGGAAGACACAGAACCAGGAATTCATAACAACTTGGTAGTTTAGGGGATTACAGATAGCCACAAAATGTTCATAAGCCATCACAGTCAATAGGAAATTATCCATTCCAAGGAATGTAATAAAAAAATACATCTGAGTAAAGCATTCTATGTAGGAGATGCCTTTGTCCTGTGTCTGGGTGTTCACCAGCATCTTTAGTACTGTGGTAGAAGTGAAACAGATGTCAACGAAGGACAGGTTGCACAAGAAGAAGTACATGGGCATATGGAGGTGAGAATCCATGCTTGTGGCCACAATTATGAGAAGGTTCCCAAGGACTGTGACTAGATACATAGACAGGAATAGCCAAAAGAGAAAGGGCTGTAATTCAGGATCAGATGAGAATTCCATGAGCAGAAACTGTGATATGCCTGTCTGGTTCTTAGCTTCCATGTTACCTGAAGGGTAGAAACAAGTGTTCAATGGAACATAAATTAAACTGTCGCTTAGTCATTACTTTAAATATCACTTTGATTTTGTGTCTTCCCTCCTGTATTGATTCCTGCCAATAACTCATTTGTTCAGTCAAGTTACAACTGTCCTCACTTTTAAATTTCATACTTACTCAAACATTCCTTAAATTAGCAGAAATCTAACTCTTTATCTTTGCCTACGTAGTCTCAATTACCATTTTAAAATTTATGGGCATGAGCTAATTTTTTCTGGATAGTGTCTTTCCAGAAGAATTGATTACATATTTTTCCTTACTTGATATTCACCATACTTCTTTACATGATAGCCCCCTAATGTTGATTAGATATAAACTTTAATAAAAATAATCTTCATTTTTGACATTAAAACTCATGCCAACCCACTCATCCTAGACAAGACACATTTTTTACCAGTTGATGTTTTCACTTACTATGTTTAAAATAGATCTATTGTTAGAAAGAGAATGTTATTAAAGATAGAAAAACACCACTGAAGAAAAATTGATCTGTGAATGTTAGAGAAGTTTTTTGGGAAATAGAAATGTTTCAACTCAGGGAAAGAAATTCGTCCATTGCTAATTGTAAGAAGAGAAGAAATGTTCTAGTCTGAGAGAACAGAATGTGTGGCTGTCCATGGTAAGCATCTTGTGGGAGAATAGTTGAAAATCATGGTATTAATTACAAACAAAGTAGGATCATGGAAATATGAGAATGGTATCAGGAGGACCAGTATCTGTCATGTCCAATGCAGAGCTTACTATAATTTTTCCAACTCACATTATTTAATTCACATTCATCTGTGGGTCTCTTGTGACAGTTTTTCTAACCATTTGTCTTGCCAAGGATATTCCTTGATCTTGTCACATTGTAAGTGTTGAAAACTACAAGTTGTAAGTGTACAATAAAGATTGAGACAAAAATGTTTTCTATAACACAGAAGACAAAATTTCAACCTTTTTATATCTGTGAACATAGGCAAAGAACAGTAATATTAAAGTTAAGTAAAATCCACTCAAATATTGTTTCAAATACAAAGCATGTAATAAACAAGTATTATCCACTTTTGGAATGGAAATCAGTTTATCATGATGATGTATTTTAAAACATAATTTATCGCATTGGATCTTGTACGAAGATTGTATTAGTGGGTTTGTCTGAGAGGACTTCAGGGAGGTGGGAAAGGGAAAGACCATTTTACAGATGGAAAATTATTGGCACATAATTGTAGAACTCAATGCATTGAAAGCTCTTGAATAATAGTGTAACAGTGTGATAGAAAAAGAGTAAGTTGAGGAAAGGGTATTAGATGGTAAAGATAGTAGAAATATTATGAACTCATGTATGAGAATGGAAAAATGGTACATGTTGAAACTATTTAAGAATAGGGAGAGAGAGGATAAAGAAGAATGATAGAGAGGGTGAATTCAACTAAGATCTAATGTAAGCACTTTTGTAAATGTCACAATGTATCCCCAGTACAACAATTATAGGACAAAAATTTTAAAATATATTTAAAAGAGAGTAAGTTATAATGGAGTAAATTTCATTAAAGCACCATATATACATATCTGAAATACCAAGATGAAACCCCTTTGAATTACCAATACACACTTATAAAATGAAAGACAGGAATGTAAAAGAGGTTCTTTTGGGTGGGTACCAGTGGGAGGGTGAGGGCATAAGAAAGGGTGAAAGATGGTGAACATGATGTATAAAGTTTGTAATCATTTATGAAAATAGGACAATGACCCCTGTTGAAATTGTTCTAAGAAGTAGGGAAAGAAGAATGAGGGAGAATTACAGAGGGGAGTAAATCTAGGTATGATATGTTGTAAGCACATATGTAAATGCCACAACGAATCCCCCCCTGTATGACTATTATATGCTAATAAAATGTATTTTATCACAAAATCAAGTCAATGTATAGAAACTATACCCATAAACATAATATACATGCTGCATTTAAAAAATGTAATAGCCATTACGCAAGTCAATAGCCAGGCCTGAGACTGCATCTATAATTAAATAATCCATGAATATTTTTCTAAACAAAAATAAGTGGTTTTCAAACCTTAGTGAATAGGAGTTTTTTTACATTCATACAAAACTATATTTATGTTACATTAAAGAACATGCCCAAGCACTCTATTCCTATTTCAATCTTATTTTCTCTGAAATTTAAAGGAATACATAAAGTGATCATAGAAGATTGGACTGTTGAGTGTCATTAGTAGTGGGAGAAGCTACTGTGGACTCTAAGGTGAAATGACACCTACAGTAATATTCAATTAAGAAGGGCTATCATTAATTTAAATATGTCAGCACAATTAGTTAGGTGACAAAAAAAGTCCACCCAAATGTAAAAAGCAACATAAAAATACCTCCTGCATAATAGAACTGCAGTTAATAAAGAAAAAATTGGATGCAGGCCACTTATCAGGACTATAGAATTATATGAAATAATGGAAAAAATTTGAGACACTCTCAGAAAAAAACTGTTTTTGGAGTAAGGCTCAAGATTTTCTGAGAGGAGAGCAGAAATAAAATATCCTCTGGAAATAAAAGCATTCTACAAATACTAAAGGTCCTTTAGTATATTTGTCATCTTTTCAACCAATATAAATATGAGAATTGGTCATACTTGTATTTTAGAAGTAAAGCCCGTATCCACTGGCCATACCTTTTTCTTCTTCCACCAGCCCTCGAGACATGCTAAATCTCTCCAGTGGTTATCAGTGAAGCTTTCTCTCCTAATCAAATAATCCCAGATAAGTTCACTATTTCTTTTTAATAAAGTAAATGAAACCAGAGAATTTCCTATGTTCTGATTCTTCAGATCTTCCATTATAGTAAATTGTTCTCTATTCATTTCACACTCCACCCTCATTCTTCTTCTCTTGTGGAATTACAAAATGAAAAGGCAGAGTAAACATTTTTAAGTTTAATTTTGTGCTAAGTATGTTAGTGGAGAAGATGGATTAGTGACAAAATTCTTTCTTAATCAAGCTCATTTATAGAGTAATTTACTTAAATGGTCATAAATTTTCCCTGTATTGTGAAGTTTAATTTCTAGAATAACAGAATGCTTAAAACCACGGAAATATGTTTTTTGCTTGTTAAATAAAGTATTTGATATTTTTATATATTCTATGTCGCTCAACATTGATACGGAGGAAATATGTCATGGTTATTTTCCTTAATAGTTTATTCTACAAATTATTACTCTATTTCATTTAATTATTTGCATAATTAAATTGACAGATAAAATTAAATATAGATGTGTAAATTAATGTGTCTATTATTAATAGTATAGTACATTATACCATCTATGAGTTTTTCCACATAAGTCAATCTCAGAACATTGTCCTATCAAGCAATGTGTTAATGTACATTACTTTACAAAGGGCTTCATTGCAATTTTACCAGTCATGCATATAATGTACTTTGGTCACCTTCACCCTATGTATTACTCTTTCTTCATCTTCTCCATTTTTCCCTTTCTTTACAATGATTGTTTTAATTTTGCAATTTCCATAGGTGCATAGGTTATAATATGGTTATAATAAATACCCATCAACTACTCCTTTCTGCTTCCACCCACAGCTTTCACTACAACCAATCTACCTTTATTTTTGCTTTTGTTTTTGGTTGTTTGACAAGTTCAATATCCCATTCTCATTTTGTGGTGAGACTATTTGACATCGGCTTAACATGTTTCTAGAACAAAATGTACCCTAACTTTACTTGCCATGATGTGAAGAAAAAGTTGAAGAAAACTTTCCTCCTATATAAATGTAACTTTGTATCCTTTGAGCAATATTTCCCCACAAACTACCAACTACTGTCCCCATTCTATGATGACCACAGATCTCTTGTCTTCTTCTATGGTGTCAAATCATTGAATTTACACAGAGAAAAATTAGGTGATGTTTGTGATTCTGCACGGCTTATTTTAATGACATGTTCCCCATTTTGAACCATGTGGTTGCATTTTCTTATTATTAAAGCCTAAATTGTATTTTATGTATATATTCCATGTTTTCTTTATCTTCCTATCCTTTAATAAACACTTAATTTGATTCCATATTGTTAGTATTGTGAAAAGTGCTCAATACCTGGGCGACAAAATATATTTTCAATGTACTAATATTATTTACTTGATATGTGTCCCCCAGTGGAATAACTGGCTCATACATTATGTAATTTTCACCTTGATATAAGGGCCTTAATATGTTTTTCTATATTGTTTATACTAATTTATATTCCCACCAACAGTTTAAGCTATTCTAATTTCTCTACAAATTTATGAACAATTATCCATTGTAATTTTATTTGGTGGTACAGAGGTTTTCAACTCAAATCTTCATTCATGATAGGCAGGTGCTTTGCCACTTGAGCCATATCCTCATACCTGCTTTGTGTTTTGTTAACCACCATTTTAACATTGTAGATCTTAAATGAGTTTTAAAATATCCAAAGACTGTTAAAGATGACATACCAGAGAGAGATGGCTTCTGAGATATTTTACTTGTATAAATTAATCATAAGGAATACCTTACATCTTTTAAAACCAATCAAGGGAAAAAAATATTTTTCTTGGAGGAAATGAATTTGTCTTCCATGCTTCTACCTACATAGGTAAAAGTTTCCACTCTATTATATTATTTGTACTGCAAGGATCTGAATTATTTGTAGAGTGAAAATAAAATAGACAATTTATTCAATTAGGAGCTTTGAGAATTCAAGCCCTGAGACAGTCAAGCATTTAATAATGCTCCATCTGCCTCTCATTTTTACTTTTCTGACCTCAGTTCCTTTGAATACTCAAGTGTGTTTCCCAGTGACACAGTGTGGATAACAGGCTTCAGTTGGTTACAGCCATAGTAGGTGTAAATGTGTCCAGTCACTGTTAAGGTGAAGTCCCAGTAATTTGAAGGAGCTTTAATCTCCACTGAGACTTGT